CTCTCTTGCATTCCAGAAACTCCTACTACCATGGTGCTGACACCCACTTCAACACCAAGCCCATTTTCAGCCGCAGCCGAACTAAACTCCATCGGCCTCATCCAATGGGACGACGCTTTCTTTTAGCATTTCACACGAGGCTATCACCGGGATGAATTCTACACCAATCGTGCTGCCACCGACTCTCGTTACTCCTTTGAAGACCCATTTTGGTACCGCTCCTTTGAACACCATCTACGTACCCGATGATCGCAAACTCCGTTCTGCACTTCTCTTTGAGTATCACGATTCACCACTTAGCGGGGACTTGGTCATGGACAAGACGTACTACCGCATTGCACGTGATTTCTTTTGGCCTAACATGAGCCGTGACATCTGCGACTACATCCGCCGCTGCCGTAGTTGCCAACAAGTCAAGGCACGCACCACATCCCGCCATGGCCTACTCCAACCCATTCCTCCTCCTACACATTTTTGGGATTCCGTCACTATGGACCTGATCACCGATCTCCCTCGCACGAAGACCAACTTCAACGCAATTCTTGTCATCGTGGATCGTCTCTAGAAAATGAATCACTTCATTCCCACGACCACAAAAGCAACAGCCTCAGAGGTTGCTCGGCTCTTTTTCACCAACATCGTCTGCCTTTACGGCCTTCCCTCCAATAACATCAGCGATCGTGATCCGCGCTTCATCAGCCACTTCTGGTAATCCCTCTTCACCCTCACCGACACTCAGATCCGTCTCTCAACTGCCTACCATACGGAAACGGATGGGCAGCCAAACGTATGAATTGTACATTGGAAGACACACTCCGCGTCTACGTGAACGCTCGTCAAAATCATTGGGATCAACACCTAGCCGCTGCTGAATTCGCCTATAACAACAGTCCTCACCTCTCCACCGGCTACAGTCCATTTTACCTTGCCACCGGTCAACACCTGCGCACCCCGTCCTCACTGCCACACGTCACATCCGCCATACCTGCCGCTTTCAACTTCCTCACTACAATCAAATCCGATGTCGCTGCTGCACACACCTCGATTCTCAAATCTCAAGAGTGACAACCACGTTATGTGAACGCCCATCGTCACAACCTCAAGTTTGCAGTCGGCGACCAAGTGTTACTATCGACCGACCACTTGGCCCTCCTTCACCCAAAGACAACCCGCAAGCTCGCCCCTCGCTCTATCAGACCATATACCGTCACGTCCGTTCTCTCACCAGTCACATATCGATTTCATCTCCCACCACATCTCAACATCCATCCCGTCTTCCATGTTCACACCTCCGCCGCTATCATGACCCCAAACCTACTACATCTAAATGTGCCACACGTCCACCCATGTTCACTGGCAACCCCGACATCCTTGAAGTCGCCGCTGTTGGTGCAACCCTATGGCTTGCACTCGGCTTGTCGTCCTTGTTTGTGTGTGTGCATGCATAGCATGGAATGAATTGTGAGTCTATGTCATTGCTATCTAGTACTTGTGTGTGTGTTTGGATGGTGTATCACAATGTGGTTTGTGTCGGTCAAGACATTAGCGAGTTTTTACAACTCGCATGTCAAGTCGTCGTTTGCGTGTCGCATGTGTTTTTTCTATTTTGTCGAGTGTGAAGTGTCCATCGCATCGCAGGTGTGTGCAGCAAGCTCCCATCAACTCAAGAAGAATTTATCTTGCAGAACCAAGACCAAGAGCTCAAGATTTCAAGCCCAAGGGACACGGATAAATATTAAATAGTGAAAATAGTAACGCTACTTCGTGTAGTGTTACATTGCACTTGGAGTAGCCCCTTGGAGGGTTTGTTTCGAGACTCTTCATGGTTGGGGACTCTGTGGTGGTGTACCACCAACCTGGACCTCGGCTCTTGGGGTATGTAGAGGCTGGGAACCGTCTCCATCTCGAATTCTTCTTCCTAAGACTATAGTGGCTGCTGTACCTCCTGCCAGTCAAACCGCCATAGCGTCGTCAAATCTTAATGGAAGTTTATGATTCAACTTGCTGCTGATAGGCGACAGCAACGCGCTCCACATCCAATTTACAGATCAAAGTTTGAGGCACACATCAGATCGGCATCAATATTTGAAGCTGTCTGACGGAATTCTGACTGTGCGCAATTTCTCTCATTTTAGGCACATCTGAGCCTATTGTGACTATAACAGCCGCTGTTCTCAATCACCGTGACACTCCCACCGGCAGAGAGTTCCTTGTCTGTTGACGCCATCTCCCTCCTACGGATGACTTATGTGAACCTGAATCCAACCTCATCCTTGCATCTCACGCCCTGGACAAGTACTTTCAGGCGCTCCAAACTCCGGGGACGGCGTTGTCAAACATATTTGTATATGTTATTATAGGCTAGATAGGTGCATACTCTTAGAGAGTACATCCCCTCAGCACAACACCACCCTGTATCTCTCATTCTAGTCAATTTTGTTACTCTGAGATGGTATCACGCTAGATTAGGTCCTAGCCCTAGTCCTAACCGCCCATCGCTAGCCGCCGGTTGCTAGCCGCCCATCGCTAGCTGCCCATTCCTAGCCGCCCGTCGCTAGCCGCCGCTGCTAGCCGATCGCCGCTCACCAACGCTGGCCGCCTGCCGCCACGTGCCCCCCGTAGCCACCAGTCGCCTGTCGCCATGGCTGCCCGTAGCCACCAGCCGCCCGTAGCCCCGAGCCCGTCGACCCTAGCTCGCTGGCCCTAGCGAGCCGCCACCGCTCTCCACCGCTCTCCACTGCTCTCCATCGCTCTCCTCCTATCTCCACCACTCTACACCGCTATCCACCACTCTCCGCCGCTCTCCTCTCCCTCCAGCGGCAGTCAACTGCTGCAGCCGTGGTGATGGTGGACTCTGTGCTCCGCCTGGGATGGTCGGGTGGTTGATTTTGAGGCGTGGCTCGTCGACCTCCGCCGCTAGCTCACAGGTTAGTGCCAGGATGGCCATTCCCTGGCCATCCATGTCGACGGTAAGCTCCCCTTCCCTGACGTGCCTGCTGCCCTCCTTGCTGCCCCCACGTCTGCAGAGCGTGAGGCCTTTGCCACTACTGAGCTTGCCCGCGCTGACTGGGAGTCGCGCGACGAAGTCACACAGCTTGCTATTAATCATGTCCTCACATTACCACAGTAGCCAATGCGAAGGAATACTTAGATGCAGTCATTGTCCGCTATTCCACTCCACCTCTTCCGTCCACCTGATCCTCCCAATGCTATTCCCTGATCTTGTTTCCTTCCCCACTGCTGCTGACCTTGCCACTCATCTCTGCGCTCTTGAGACTAGCTACTGCGCTGCTAGCACTGAGGCCCAGCTCGCTGCATTCCCGCCGCCGCTTTGCGCTACCCTTTACCTCATTGCCACACGCCTCCCTGACTGTCTTGCCTTTGCCCGCGACCACTTCCTTAGTCAGAACCCAGGTGACCTCACCCTTATTTGCCTTTATCACCGCCCTGTCCACGATAGAGACCCGCCAGCGCACTATCGCTCAGTCTTGCGGTAATGCGGCGGTCCCTATATTCCAGGGCAGTGCTCCCTCCCAGTGCACTTATTCTGACGTTTCAGCCGCTGTCGCTGAGACAACCCCTACCGCTGAGACTGCCGCCGCGGTCTCAGCACAGCCGCGTCAGGGTAAGGGCCGCCGCCCCAAGGGGGGGCATGGCGGAGGGAAGGGTGGTGCGGGTGGCGGAGGTGGTGGAGGTGGGGGCGGGGACGGTGATGCAGACGAGGGGACTGGGGTTGATGCTTGGAGCTGCAGCAGCAGCAGCAGTCGCAGCACCAGCAGCAGCCGCCGTGGTGGCCTGGCAAAACTGGTGGTGGTGGTCGTGGTGGTGGGCCGCGCAGCTCGGTGTCGGGTGGCGGCTCTAGTTGTGTAAATTGTGTTTACATCCGTAGTTGGGTGTACACCTGTGTTGGGGTGTCAATCCAACCCAATTGTGGTTGGAGCCCCCAAACACAAGGACCACAATTGTGGGGGCACCACAAGTGGGTTGGCTAAACCACTGGTGGTACACCACACTTGGACCACCTCCAACTGGTGGTCAACCACATTTGGAAGGATCCTCCCTCCCTTGTGATTGGTCCTAACCCCCCTTTCCCTTCCAACCTTCCCTTCCTAGCTTATCTCTCTCTTCCTATGTAATGCCTTTGCTTCATCAATAAACTGAACCTTTCTGTTTCTAACATGGTATAGAGCAATAATGGCTCACGCCAACTTTTAGATCCCGATCCTTCCCCACGCTTCCGCCCCGTCCCCTTCCAACGTGCACCTCATTGCCGTCCCCTCCATCGCCGCTGCTAGACTCCTAGCCGCCGCCTCTCAACTAGTTTTCTGTTGGGTGGATTTTCAAAAACCCCCAATGCGCCAAACGCCATAGCTCGCTCGATAGTTGACAGAATTGAGTGATTCGACTTGCAAAAGAACGCTCTTGGTGTCAGCTACAACGTCGGAAAATTTCAGACTGTTTCATCGCTTGAATTGTCAGATATCGCTTTCCGAAGTTTGCACACTTTCCTGGATGTGATCACGAAGTGCTACTGAAATTTCTACCAAGTATATTTTCATCAGCTAACTGCCATCTTTCCCCATCTTTTGCCTCCTCACCTGCACCTGCTCATCGCCGCCTTACCACTGCTGCAGCCATAGCAGCAGCAGCAGCAGAAGCAGCAGCAGCACCAGAAGGAGCAGCAGACTCAGCAGCAGCAGCAGCAGCAGCAGTAGCAGCAGCAGCAGCAGCAGCAGCAGCTGAAACAGCAGCAGCAGCAGCAGCAGCAACATCGGTAGCAGCAGCAGTGGCAGCAGCAGCAGCGGCAGCAGCAGCAACAGCAACAGCAACAGCAGCAGCAGCAGCAGCAGCAGCAGCAGAAGGAGCAGCAGCAGCAGCAGCAGCAGCAGCAGCAGCAGCAGCAGCAGTATCTAGAGCCATCCCCATCCTCCCCTCCTCTTTGAGCCGCCGCGGGTCCACCCGCCGCCGCTCCCTCCCGGCCACTGCGGGTCCACCCGCCGTCGCCTTCCTCCCACTCCGTGTCACCAATGGCATCCTTTCCCCCTCCCGTGGACGTCTCGACCCTCGATCATCTCGTGCGCGCTGCCGACAACTCAGCAACCAAGTGGTATTCCTTCGTCGGCAGCCTCCACCGCGTCCTCGGCAGTGCTTATGTCCTGCCGTTCCGCCTCCTGGACATCATGCTTGGTCTCCCAGAGGGTGACCTTGGGGACCCGCCGCCTCACCCTGGCGATCCCCCCCCTCTCATTCCCCATCCCGGCGAGGAACCTCCGCCCCCCATGGTACCCGTTGGCACCAGCACTCGCGCTGCCACCGCTGAAGTTGAGCAGCTCTTCCTTACTCAGCGTCGTGAGTTCCTCGTGCTCCATACTGATTACCTGATCGCGTTGGAGGAACACGAGCGGTCGGCAACCCTCCGCACCCAGCATGCCGCTACCGCCGCCGCTTATGCCGCTGACTCTGCGCGATTTGCTGAGCGTCGTCGCGCCTGGCTCGAGGCGGACAGCCGTGCTACTGGTGCCCTTCTCCTTGCCATCCCGTCTGCGCTCATGCGCAACTTCCAGGCACGTCGCATCGGCTCCCGCCAGATCTGGCTCGAGCTTGAGGCAATATTCGAACGCACCGACTTCGATGCTGTCGGACCGCTCTTCAAGGAATACTTCAGCATCACGATCGAACATAGTGCTGGCGCCGTCGACTACACCAGCCGTCTCCTGGACCTTGCCTCCCGCCTTGAGGCTCGCCAGACTACTCTCCCCCCCAACCTTCAGATCTACCGTCTCCTCGAAGGCCTCTCCCCTCAATATGAAGTGCGCGTCATCGCCTTCACTGAGGCTCAGCCCCGCGCCTCCCTTGACACTGTGGTCCAATGGATCATTGACGCTGAGGCCCGCCTTCTCTCAACCCCCCCCTCCGGCCTGAACTCCACCGAGTCCCAAAACCCCCAGCTTGCAGTCACACAGCCGCGTCGTGGCGGGCGCCCACGTGGCGGCCGCACCAACCCTCAGGGAGGGGGTGGAGGTGGCGGTTGTGGGGGCAGCGGAGCCGGCGGCGGTGGTGGCGGGGTCGAGGGTGGCAGCAGTGGTGGTGGTGGAGGCAGTGGTGGCTCATCTGGTAGCCGTGGTGGCCGCCCTGGCACTCTCCCCCCATGTTCCTATCTTCGCCGTTTTGGTCCCAGGGCGGGTGAGCGCTGCACCCAAACCAACCATCCCCCCGCGACCTGCTTCAAGGCGTATGATGACGCCTGGTTCGAGCGCGGCAACACTGGCACACCCCCACGCTGGTCTGCCATGGATCCCCGCCCCTCTCTCCAGGATGTCAAAACTCTTCCGTCTTTCCTCCCCTCTCATCTTCAGCTCTCCTCCTCCTCCTCCTCCTCTGTCGCTGACCCCATAACTCCCCAGGAGTTGCAGCAGTTTCGCCGCTTCCAGCAGCTGCAGCTGCTGCAGCAGCAGCAGCAGTGGGGCTCTGGTGGTCAGGCTGCAGCCGCAGCTGCAAGAGCCGCAGCCGCAGCATCTGCATGGCAGCAGCAGCAGCTTGGCTTTGGCACCGCCGCCATGGCTGCCACAGCCACACCAGGTCCTCCTGGCTTTCCCCTCTGGGGCTCTCCTTCCCCTAGTGCTCCCGCCTCCCACTCCAGCTTTCTAGGCGAGCTCATGCGTTCTTCCCCTACTTCCACTTCCATGTATCCCTCTGTTTTTAATGCCAGTGATTTCCAGTACCCCGTGTCTTCAGCTCCCTCCTCGCTCACGATTGACTTTGTTCTCGATAGTGGTGCCACTGAAACTGCCCTCAAAGACGCCGGCACCCTCACCTCCCTCCCTTTCCCCACCAACGTTCATGGTGCTGATTCCAGCTTCTCCATCCCTTGCACTCATCTCTCCACCCTCCCCTGCCCCCCCTTCCCCTCTGGAGTGGTCACTGGTCTCCACATTCCCTCCCTTCGTCATAACCTGCTCTCCATTCGTGAACTCCAACAGGCTGGCATCACTACCCTCTTCCCCGCCTCTGCCACCTACTGTGACCTCCTCCACGGCCCCACTCGCCGCCTCCTTCATCGCCTCCCACTTTGCCCTCGCTCTCGTCAGTACATCCTCCGCACACCCCGCCCCTCCTCATGCCACGTGACCACTCGTGCAGGCACCTCCACTCTCCCCCCTCCCCTCCCTCTAGAGCCACCTTCCTCCAACTCCACCTCCTCCCCATGCTGTTGTCGCGCACTGTCCCACCCCGCTGTTCTCATCCACCACCGCCTTGGTCAAATGAACTTTCCCACACTTTGTAAAGCCGTCTCCTCCCGCTTGCTTGACGGTCTTCCCCCCACTCTTCCTCCCCTCCCGTCCTCTTCCGCTCCCCCATGCGCCACATGCATTCATGGAAAGCTCAAACAACAGCCTCACCTCAGTCATCCTTCCTTTGCTGCTGCCCCCCTTGACCTCGTCCACATGGACCTCTGGGGCCCTAACCCTTCCCCTTCCCGCCAAGGGCACCGGTACATGCTTGTCCTAGTCGACGACCACAGCAGGTACTCCTCGGTGTTCCTCCTCCACACGAAGGCCGAGGCCTTTGCTGTCATCGTTACCTGGGCCGAGCAGTGCCGAGTCCACTTTGGTCGCCCCATCCGCCGCCTCCATTCCGACGGCGGTGGTGAGTTTCTCAACCGCACCCTCTCCTCCTACTGCTCAACCCATGGCATCCAGCAGACTCATACCCTTCCCCACTCCCCTCAGCAGAACGGTGTTGCTGAGAGTCGCATTCGTGAGATCACCAAGACGGCCCGCTGCCTCCTCACTCATGCCTCCACGCCCCCTTCTCTTTGGGGCTATGCCCTTGTCCATGCTGCTCTCCTTACTAATCTTTACCCACATCCTCAACGCTAGTCTGTCACTCCCACTGAGCTCTGGGCTAGCACCAAGCCAGATGCTGCCATTCTCCGTATCTGGGGTTGCAAGGCATATGTCCTCATCCCCCCACCTGACCGCTCTCGGCAGGCAGGAAAGCTCGCCTCCAAGGCCATTGAGTGTGTCTACCTTGGCCACGCTCGCTCTGCCCCTGGTTACCTCTTCCTTCACCCGTCCTCAGGCCGCCTCCTACAGAGCCGTGACGTGGTGTTCGATGAGAGCATCCCGTTCTATCATTCTGTTCCGCCTTCCGGCCCCCTTCCTCCTCTCTCCCGCCCCCTCACCTGGGCTGATGCTGTCATTCCCCCACTCCTTCCCCAGGCTCCCCTCCTTCCTCCAAATCCTGCTCCTCCCCCTCCTCCTTCCTCAGGTGACATTTACGACCCAGCTGTCCCTGACTCCCCTGCTCACTCTGCCTCATCGCACCAGCACCAGCAGCACCACCAGCAGCAGCAGCAGCAGCAGCAGCAGCAGAAGGAGCAGCAGCAGCAGCAGCAACAGCAGCAGCAGCAGGTGCAGCAGCAGCAGCGGATGGAGCAGCAGCAGCAGCAGCAGCAGCAGCAGCAGCAGCAGCAGCAGCAGCAGGAGGTGCAGCAGCGGATGGAGCAGCAGCAGCAGCAGCAGCAGCAACCGCAGGCAGTGCAGCAACAGCAGCCGCAACAGGAGGTGCAGCAGCAGCACCAGCAGCAGCCACAGCAGCAGCAGCAGCAGCAGCAGCCACTGCAGCAACCTCATCGGCATCGCCGCACCACCTCTCCGTTCATCCTCCCACGCATCCACACTCGCTCTCACGGCCCACTCATAGGCCATCCATGGGGTTGGCCAACACTACCCCCACCCTCCCTTCCCTTCATTGAGGACTCCCATGAGGAGCTCATTGGCGTTCAGCAACAAACACCTTCCCTCACGCCTCTCTATCCTGGCTTCCTTGGCCTCCTCATCCTTGGCATCGCTACCGCTCCCACCAGATTCACTCCGTCCAACTTCCTTGAGGCCATCACCTGCCCCGATGCTGCCAAGTGGATCCAGGCTATCTTTGCTGAATGCGAGGCCTTCATCCGCAATGCCTCATTCGTTAACATTGTCCCCTCTCCTGACGACGTCATTGTTGAAGGCCTGTGGGTGTTCCGAGTGAAGCAGCTGCCGGGTGAGGAGCCGGTCTACAAGGCCCGGTATTGTGCCAAGGGCTTCACCCAAACCCATGGCATCGACTACTGGGAGACATTCTCTCCCACTGCCAAGCTCCCAACTCTCCGTGCCATCCTCGACTATGCTGTTCGCGTTGGCATGGAGATTGCCTCCATGGATGTCTCCAACGCCTTCCTGCAAGGCGAGCTCCAGGAGCGGGTCCTCTTGCGGCGGCCTCCAGGCTTTCATGCAGCCTTCCCTGCCAACACAGTCTGGGAGCTGCGCCGCCCGGTTTATGGCCTCAAGCAGGCTCCTCGCGAGTGGCACAACAAGCTGGCCGCCACTCTGCAGTCCTTGGGGTTCCATGCCTCTCAGTCTGATGCCAGCCTTTTCCTTCGCTCCTCTCCCACCCGCTTCTTCATCCTGGTGTATGTCGACGACATGATCCTGTTCGCTGACGATGCTGCCGCCATGCAGCAAGTGAAGGACGCCCTGCATGCGCGCCTCAAGTGCAAGGACCTGGGTGAGCTCAAGCACTATCTGGGCATGACCATCACCCGGGACCGCACATCGCGCACCATTACCCTCTCTCAGTCCTTCTACATCGACCAAGTCTTGCAGCGGTTCGACATGGCGCAGGCCAAGCCGGTTACCACTCCCCTGCAGACCGACCACCAGCTTGCCCCTCCTCCTGCTCCCTCCTCCTCTGACCATCCTTACGCTGAGCTCGTCGGCTCGCTGATGTACGCTATGATGTGCACCCGCCCCGACCTTGCCTACCCCATCAGTGTTCTTGCTCGATTCGTCGGTACCGGTCGCCACACTGATGAGCACTGGGCTGCAGCGAAGCGGGTCCTCCGCTACCTCCGTGGTACCAAGGACTATGTCCTCACCCTCGGAGGCTCTTCTCCTCCCCTCCTCTCTGGCTTCAGTGACTCCTCCTGGGCTGACTCCCAGCCGGATCGCCGTTCCTCTCAAGGCTACGGCTTCACCCTTGGCAGCGGCCTCATCAGCTGGCGCTCCACTCGCTCCTCCTCCATCGCCCTCTCATCCTGCGAGGCTGAGCTCTATGCTTGCACCATGGCCGCTCAGGAGGCTCGCTGGCTCACCTTCCTCCTTGCTGAGATCGGTGCTCCTCAGCGCTGTCCCACCCTCTGGTGCGACAACGCCAGCACCATCCATCTCACAAAGGACCCTGTCTTCCATGGCCGCTCCAAGCACATTGAACTCCGCTACTTCTTCGTTCGAGAGTTGGTCCAGCAAGGTCACTTGGTGGTCCGCAAGATCGCTGCAGAGGCCAACTTGGCCGACATCTTCACCAAGGCCCTCCCGAAGACCGCGCACTCTGCCCTCCTCCGCCTTCTCGGCCTTGGGCCCCGCCCCCCTTCCTGATTCTGGGGTTGTACCCTACATATACACTAGCTTTGCATGCTATGGGGTTGTGTTAGAATATACCATGCTATGCTAGTTGTGTATATTGTGTTTACATCCCTACTTGGGTGTACACCTGTGTTGGGGTGTCAATTCAACCCAATTGTGGTTGGAGCCCCCAAACACAAGGACCACAATTGTGGGGGCACCACAAGTGGGTTGGCTAAACCACTGGTGGTACACCACACTTGGACCACCTCCAACTGGTGGTCAACCACATTTGGAAGGATCCTCCCTCCTTTGTGATTGGTCCTAACCCCCCCTTCCCTTCCAACCTTCCCTTCCTAGCTCATCTCTCTCTTCCTATGTAATGCCTTTGCTTCATCAATAAACTGAACCTTTCTGTTTCTAACAAAGAGGGCGTATGGCTGAGACGGCTACTTCAAGAGATTGGGATCACCATCCAAGGTCCTACGACGATCAAAACGGGCAGTCAATCAACCATCGACCTTGCAGGGAACGACAACTGGCACGGACGGACGAAACACATGGACGTCAAGTATCACTGGGTGTGAGAGATGCTGCAGAAAAGGACATTTGATTTTGTGCACGTGCGGACAAAGGAGCAGCCCACGGATTTCCTCACCAAGGTGCTGCCAAAAGCTAATCATGAGCACTGCAAGGACTTGCAGGGCAGTACCGGAGCAGCAATGAAGGCGACCATCCCAAGTGAAGCACGCGGACAAGAGATGATAACAAAATTAGGGCACAGGGTGACCACGGGAGCATCCAAGAGGGGCAGCTAGCGAACCACAGGGGAGGTTGTTAGGGTGGTTCGCCACTGCCCTGCCGTCCATCTATGCGGCGCTGCTATGGACGGTGTTCAAACCGTCCATCTATTTCCAAGGAAAACGGCGTTGAAATTGGGCGACGGATGAAAAGGGAGAGAATGATGGCAATAAGAAAAATGGGGAACCCTAAATGCAGTGGCGGAAGTGGCGGAACAACGATGGAACAAGGAAAATCAGCGAGGAAGAAATGGAAGATATCGGTAGAAGAAAACCTTAAAAAATGGGGAGATTGGGATTGTTCTGACTTGCGTGAGGGAACAGCAGCTTGGAAATGCTCTTTCTGTTGCCGTGGAGGAAACTGCTGCAGGAAAACCTGCAACACAGACCCGGAGCGCGCATAGTTGAATTCTGGAGAACCAAAATCGGTGTCGGTTTCGGACCTAGTGTCGGTTACCGAAATCCGTTTCCGCGGTTGCCAGAATTCCGCGTTTGGCAGAATTCCGAGGTTGCACAGTGCTACATCCGCGTTATGCGAACCGCACAATCTTTCTGACTGCTTATAAAAGCTTGTTTGTTTCTTGTTCAAATACAACTCGTCTTCAGTGCAAATTCTCCCCTGGAAATTGCTGAAACTTTCAAAGTCACACAGTTTCTGCAACGTCAGCCGGAGGCGCTTGCAAACCTATAACATATACCCGTTGCACGGTGCAATCCACATGGCTGCTCGAGGACCTCAACGTGAGGCGTGGGAGCACGTGGCTGTGCTAGCGGTAGCGTCTGACACAACAAAAGGTTTGCAGGCATGGCCAGTGGGCGGCAAGGTGGACAGTCAGGGGGTCAAGTAAGCATGGTGAAGAGGAACACATGCAAGTGTGCTAGGTGCCAACGGTAGCCAACTAGGGGAGCTGGTTGTGCCAATGATTGCCAATGAGTGCCTACTAATTCTGCAGGGGAACAGTCAGTGCAGGTGGGGGTATGTAAGCCTATAGATAGGAAACGCACGGCAAAGAACATGGGTGATGTAGAGGATCTGTGGCACAGTAACAGGGGAGTGTCAGAAGAGGGGTGCGGCGGCAAAGGAGGCCTTGAGAGCGGCGCCAGAAGGATGGGTGAGCGGCAGTAGAAGAAGGAAAGGGGGGGTTTACTAGTAATAGGCGGCAGCAGGAAAGCTTGCTGTACGTGAGTGGCGAGGTGAGGCAGAGATGAGAAGAGTGAAGGAAGGTTCAAGGCAGGGGTGCGAATTGAATAATGAGGGCCAAAGAGCTGCACGAAAGATGACGTGGCAGTAGACAACGCGATTGAGTTGATTTAACAGACACGAGCTGGCATGAGGAAGGAGCAGGGCGCTCCAGGAAATAGGAGGAACGGGTGGAAAAAACAGGTCAGTTGGGGGCAACGGATAAGAGAGGATCCCCACCAGGACAGAAATTGCACGCTTACAATCCGGCCAGGCGCCTATTGTGCCTCTAGATCCTTAGGCCGAGCGACTGTGTAGCCACTTGAGTCGACGTTCACCGAGCAGGACGAGAGAAGCCCAGCCGGAGGAGCAACGCCCCAGTTGGCAGGTGGGCGAGGAGATAGCATGTGGTGGGCAATCTGCGAGAACGGACGATGAAGCAGGGAGGAGTGAAGGGCACGAGGAGCATGTCGGAGACTTGCTGGGGTTGCCCTTGAGATCCTTGGGGAAGGGCCACAGGTGCAGAGCCTGGGGGGTTGTGGGCGCGTACTTCACAAGCCCTTTTAACTCAGTGGTTAGTGACTGAGTTCTGACATGCAGCAAGTGAAGGACGCCCTGCATGCGCGCCTCAAGTGTTGGTGCATATTCATTTGCACGTCTTCCTGTCGTCTGTTCGCATCATTTCGTTTGCATGTGTTTTGTGTGCTACGTTGTTTGTATGGTTTGTTGGGTTTGCATGTCTTTGCATGTTCATCTTGTGCTTGTGGAGATGTGCTTGGATTGTGCATGACATCGAGCACATTCCAACGAGCCAAGAATTGTTGGAATCGGAGCACATATGAAGAAGTTACGAAGAAATGTTTGATGGATTTGTTACAACTCATTGGAAGTCCTTGTCAGCTGCTACACCAAAGTTGGAGAGCCCTATAACGAGGAGGGACCAGCATGTGTGGGACTTTTGTCCCCACCTTGCAGCTGCAGCATTTGGGGTTTGGAGGCCAACCTGGCACAGTGTGAATTTTGTCTTGCCAGGCTGGCTGAACCTGAGGATGGGGAGTCAAAACTTTGACTCTTGTCATGTTCTTGACCATGGGCCTCCAGGGTCCTTCCCCTTCATCCTTCCCTTCCTACCCCACCTTCCAACTGTGCTTCAATGCCTTTTCGATCATGCCTCTGATCTTGTAAGCTTCAATCATAGTGACTCTGAGGACTGTCAACTTCTCCTAGGGCAGATTACCCCCCAGTGCGCCAAACGCCATAGCTCACTCGTTAAGCTACGGAATTGAGTGATTCAACTTTCAGTGGAAAGCTGACGCTGTCAGCTACAACATATCCGATTTTCAGATCGTTTCACCGATTGGAGTTTTGGATATAGCTATTCGACGGTCGCGAGTTTTCTGGGCGTCATAACGAAGTGCTGCAGAAATTTCCAAGGAGCCATTGAATCATCTGCTTATAGCCTTCTCTAACCAACAAGTGGTATCAGAGCCTATTATCACGCATTTGGGACCTAAAATACGATGGGAGATAAAGAGGACTCTGGTGGAGGTGATACTTCAGTCCAAGGAGGCAGCTCAACCCAAGATTCTAGCATTGCAGCGCAAAGGGGAGCGCGTACACGCCAGGGGTCACTGCTTAAGGAGGTGCTGAAGAACTTCACCATTGAGAAGTTCTCTGGAGATGGCTATGATGATTGGGCATGGAAGATGCAGCTCTACTTTCGACAAATTGGCCTCTTGAAGCTCATGATTGGAACGGAGCCAAGGCCAAAGGAAATGGCAGAGCAAGCGGACTGGGATGAACGTTCATCTGCTGGGTATTATCTACTGTCACAAAGCTTGGAGCTGAACCAGAGGCATCACATCATGCATCTGCTACCGGAAATTGATTGTGGGCCCAAGGCATGGGCAGTGCTCAAGGACCTGCACGCTCCGACATCGGTTGCCGCTTCTCTCATGCTGGATCGGGAGCTGTCCATGCTGCGGTTGAGCGAGAATGAACCTGTGCAGCCTGTACTGGACAAGATGAGGGAACTCTACGCGAAATTGGCGATTGCAGGCATCACGTACCCAGAGCAGACAAAGTGTCTCAAGATGCTCAGCCTGCTGCCGGAGTCTTGGCTGCAATTTATAAGCGGACTCAGCTTGCCACAAAACCAAAGTCAATGGACATTGGAGTGGATTCGCACCAAGATTCTGGAAGAAGATTTTCGTCGCTATACACTGCGCGGAGGTGATGACAGCACCAGCGGCTATGCCATGCAAGGGACATGGAGGGATCGAGGGCGTGGCAATCGCGGTCGCTCTTACCACAGTCAAGGTGGTTGCGGGACTTGGAACCAGCGGGGGCGTGGTGGCGCTGGTGCAAGAGGAAGAGGTGGTCACTCCAACAATGACAACAGTGAACCACGCTTGAGGGGAGAGTGCTGGTATTGCAAGGAAGAAGGGCATCCATGGTTTCGCTGCCCTACCAAGCCCGACTGGTGGACCCCTTGGAACCAATCGCAGAAGGGGAATGGAGGAAAGCAACCACATGGAGGTGCCAACATGGTAGCTGATCCTGCTGAAGAAACCTCCAAGGATGACAGAGGAATGGGAAATGAGGAGAGGAATGCTGGACAGTTCTACCATGTGTGTGACAAAGATGACAGTGGCACAGCTGTTGCAAGGGCTGGAGAGGAATTGCACCCGCTTGACATGTGGGTCATGGACTCTGGTGCTGCATGGACAATGACACCACGCAAGGACTTGCTGGATGCTGTGTGAGCGCCTCCAATCTCTGAAGTGCGCTCAGCATCCGGACATGCAGTGAAGGTCGCTGGAGTTGGTCGAGCTGCATTCAGAGCACCTGATGGTGGACTGGTTGTGCTGAAGGACGTGTTACTCGTACCGGGGCTGAAGGCCAATCTGATATCGCTGCGCAAGCTAGGCCAGGCCGGAGTCAGCACCACCACCAATGGATCCAAAACATTCAAGGGGCTGCGAGGAGATCGTGTGTTATGGGATTTACACGAAAGCAGAGATGTCTTCAGATCCATGTGGCAGATCCCTGCACTCATATGGGAATCAACAAAGAAGGAGTTGGGAGAAGTAAAGGCGTGATCTGGAGTCCAGGGGGAGTGTAATGCAGTTAGTGCTGCAGGAGTGACGGTTTCTGCAAGGTCGGGGGAGACTGATTGGGAAACCGCACACAAGCGTCTAGGGCATGTGGCTATGCCATTGCTGCAGCAACTGCATAAGGAAGAAGCAGTAAAGGGGCTGAAGCTTTCTGGGCAACCAAATGATACCAAGTGCGAGACGTGTCTGCTGAGCAAGTTCACACGGTTCCCCTTTCACGGCGTAGCTGGGAAAAGCAAGGCAGCACTGGAACTGGTGCACATGGACCTGGTAGGACCTTTTCCAGTCCGAGGAAGTAAGGGGGAAAGGTACTTCCTGACAATAGTTGATGACTGGAGTCGGCTGATGTGGGCATACCCGTTGAAGCAGAAGGATCATGCTGCCTCAACAATACGAGATGATTGGCTGCCGTTCGTCGAGCGACAATCTGGGCACCCATGCAAGAGCATCAGAACCGACCGAGGTGGAGAGTTTCTAGGAGGAGATCTGACTGCGTGGCTCAAGAAACAAGGCATTGAGCATCAGCTAACGACGTCCTATACCCCTCAGTCAAATGGCGTTGCTGAGAGGGCTAATAGGACCATCCTGGAAACTGCGCGAGCGCTGCTGATCGAATCAGGGCTGGGGAACTCCATGTGGCCTCATGCGGTGAGGCATGCTACAGTGGCAAGGAACCGCGTACTCACAAAGGTGGCTGATGATATGTGGGTGCCGCTGGAGAGGTGGCTTGGAAAGAAGCCTCCAGTGGACATGCTTCGAGTGTTCGGATGCATGGCAGTGTCGCATGTCCCTAAACCGTACAGGACAAAGCTTGGAGCATCTGCACTGTGGTGTGTGCACCTTGGGCTTGCGGCAGAGAGCAAGGGGTGGCTACTCTGGGAGCCCTCGAAGAATGTGCTGTTTGACAGTCGGGATGTCAAATTTGTGGAGAACATCATGTATGGCAAGTGGGAGAAGCAGCCGGAGGCAAGGGTCACCCAGCAGCTGGAAGAGATCACTATGCACTTCGATGTGTCCGAACCTGAGGACAGCGAAGTCACTGCGCCAACGGCAAGCGGTACTGATGAAGGAAGCAATGAGGATATTGCAGCTGATGCTGAAGTCAAGGATCCGGAGCAGCAGCAGCAAGAGGCTTCCAAAACACCAAGTCTGCCAAAGCGAAGGAAACAGATTGGTGGGGGGACAAAGGATTGGGTGAAGGTGAAAGAATGGGTAAATCCAACCATCTACCCTGCACGTACCAGAATGGCAACAAGAAAGCTGCTGAGCTCCACAAGTGGAGGAGCCACAACTGAGCAGCAGGAACAGGCTCAAGGCGAAGATGCAGTGCTGTTCTTGGGTGATGACCAAGAGTCAGATGACGAGGAGCCTGCATACTGCTTTTACGCACCAATACAACCTCCGAGCATGGATCATGCGCTAGCCGGGCCTCAACGGGGGAAGTGGCTCGTTTCAAGAGATGCAGAGTACAACAGCCAGATGGAGAATCACACATGGGACCTGGTGTACTTGCCAAATGGGAAGAAGGCAATACAGTGCAAGTGGCTGGCAAAAATCAAGACGGATGAGAAAGGAGAGCCATCAGTTTACAAGAGCAGGCTGGTGGCAAAGGGGTTTCAGCAGAAAGAGAAGGAAGATTACAAAGAAGTGTTTGCCCCAACTGCTAAGTCTCCAACGCTACGTGTGCTGCTGGCGGTAGCTGCTGTGCGCAAATGGAAGGTGAAGCAGATGGACATCGTAACCGCTTTTCTGTACGGCATTGTGGAAGAGGAGGTGTACATGGTTCAACCACCTGGCTATGAGGATGGAACCGGTCGTGTCTGCAAACTTAACAAGGCCATCTATGGCTTGAAGCAGGCCCCGAGATGCTGGTACAACAGGCTGGCCAGTGCACTGGAAGGGATTGGATTCCGTGCGAGTGCATGCGACGAGAGCCTATTCCTGATGGGAGAGGGGGAGTCACTTGTGCTTCTGCTGGTGTACGTGGATGACATCCTGCTCTTCAGCAGCAGTGACAAGGAGATCGATGGGGTGCAGCGGAAGCTCACAGAGCAGTTCAAGTGCAAGTCACTTGGAGAGGCAAGGTACTACCTGGGAATGCACATTGAGCGGGATACTGAACGTGGCTGGCTCAAACTGCATCAGGGACAGTACATCATCACCTTGGCTGAGAAGTACGCTCTGCAGGAAGAACGGGAAGTGGTCACACCTTTGCCTTCCGAGTTCAAACTCATAAAGGCAGCTGAAGGAGAAGGAGTTGAGAGTGAAGACCAGAGGCAATTCCAATCCATGGTCGGGAGCCTACTCTACGCTGCTGTGCATACTCGGCCTGACATCAGCTTTGCTGAGTAGTGCAAAATCCAACAGAAGAGCAGTGTGGTGCAGCGGAGAGAGTGGTGCGCTACCTCAAGTCATACCCTACAATGGGAGTACAGTATTCAGCCTCTGCTCAACTCAGTCAAAAAGGAGTTGAAGTCCTCAAAGAGAAGGGGGAGCAGCTCGGAGAAGGAAAGGTGTTCCTTTCCTGTTTTGCTGATGCCACGTGGGCTTCTGAGCATGAGGATTCATCATCAGTTGGTGGATACATCTGCATGGTGGGAGGTGGGCCTGTAAGTTGGAGGTCCAAAAAGCAGTCTGAGACGGCACTATCTTCAGTGGAATCTGAGTACATGGCGATGTTTCATGCGGCAAAAGAAATCATCTGGCTAAGGAGGCTCTTGAAGGAGATCGGCCATGAACAGACTTGTGCGACACCTCTGTTCAGTGACAGCAAGGGAGCCATTGCCATGGCACGCAACGCAGTTCTTCAAGGGTTGAACAAGCACATGAGGATCAAGTGGCATTGGCTGCGGAAGGAGGTGAAGCTTGGGACACTGGATCCGATCTACGTGAAAACTCAGCAACAGCCAGCCGACTTCCTTACCAAGCGGCTAGCTGAAGAGCCACACTGGCGCTGTGCGAGGATGGCGGGAATGTCCTTGAACTAGAGATGGCGAAACAAGCCGACAGTCTGAGGGGGAGTGTGTTGGTGCATATTCATTTGCACGTCATCCTGTCGTCTGTTCGCATCATTTCGTTTGCATGTGTTTTGTGTGCTACGTTGTTTGTATGGTTTGTTGGGTTTGCATGTCTTTGCATGTTCATCTTGTGCTTGTGCAGATGTGCTTGGATTGTGCATGACATCGAGCACATTCCAACGAGCCAAGAATTGTTGGAATCGGAGCACATGCGAAGAAGTTACGAAGAAATGTTTGATGGATTTGTTACAACTCATTGGAAGTCCTTGTCAGCTGCTACACCAAAGTTGGAGAGCCCTATAACGAGGAGGGACCAGCATGTGTGGGACTTTTGTTCCCACCTTGCAGCTGCAGCATTTGGGGTTTGGAGGCCAATCTGGCACAGTGTGAATTTTGTCTTGCCAGGCTGGCTGAACCTGAGGATGGGGAGTCAAAACTTTGACTCTTGTCATGTTCTTGACCATGGGCCTCCAGGGTCCTTCCCTTTCATCCTTCCCTTCCTACCCCACCTTCCAACTGTGCTTCAATGCCTTTTCTATCATGCCTCTGAACTTGTAAGCTTCAATCATAGTGACTCTGAGGACTGTCAACTTCTCCTAGGGCAGATTACCCCCCACTGCGCCAAACACCATAGCTCACTCGTTAAGCTACGGAATCGAGTGCTTCAACTTTCAGTGGAAAGCTGACGCTGCAAGCTACAGCATATCCGATTTTCAGATCGTTTCACCGATTGGAGTTTTGGATATAGCTATTCGAAGGTCGCAAGTTTTCTGGGCGTCATAACGAAGTGCTGCAGAAATTTCCAAGGAGCCATTGAATCATCTGCTTATAGTCTTCTCTAACCAACATCAAGTGCAAGGACCTGGGTGAGCTCAAGCACTATCTGGGCATGACCATCACCCGGGACCGCACATCGCGCACCATTACCCTCTCTCAGTCCTTCTACATCGACCAAGTCTTGCAGTGGTTCGACATGGCGCAGGCCAAGCTGGTTACCACTCCCCTGCAGACCGACCACCAGCTTGCCCCTCCTCCTGCTCCCTCCTCCTCTGACCATCCTTACGCTGAGCTCGTCGGCTCGCTGATGTACGCTATGATGTGCACCCGCCCCGACCTTGCCTACCCCATCAGTGTTCTTGCTCGATTCGTCGGTACCGGTCGCCACACTGATGAGCACTGGGCTGCAGCGAAGCGGGTCCTCCGCTACCTCCGTGGTACCAATGACTATGTCCTCACCCTCGGAGGCTCTTCTCCTCCCCTCCTCTCTGGCTTCAGTGACTCCTCCTGGGCTGACTCCCAGCCGGATCGCCGTTCCTCTCAAGGCTACGGCTTCACCCTTGGCAGCGGCCTCATCAGCTGGCGCTCCACTCGCTCCTCCTCCATCGCCCTCTCATCCTGCGAGGCTGAGCTCTATGCTTGCACCATGGCCGCTCAGGAGGCTCGCTGGCTCACCTTCCTCCTTGCTGAGATCGGTGCTCCTCAGCGCTGTCCCACCCTCTGGTGCGACAACGCCAGCACCATCCATCTCACAAAGGACCCTGTCTTCCATGGCCGCTCCAAGCACATTGAACTCCACTACTTCTTCGTTCGAGAGTTGGTCCAGCAAGGTCACTTGGTGGTCCGCAAGATCGCTGCAGAGGCCAACTTGGCCGACATCTTCACCAAGGCCCTCCCGAAGACCGCGCACTCTGCCCTCCTCCGCCTTCTCGGCCTTGGGCCCCGCCCCCCTTCCTGATTCTGGGGTTGTACCCTACATATACACTAGCTTTGCATGCTATGGGGTTGTGTTAGAATATACCATGCTATGCTAGTTGTGTATATTGTGTTTACATCCCTAGTTGGGTGTACACCTGTATTGGGGTGTCAATCCAACCCAATTGTGGTTGGAGCCCCCAAACACAAGGACCACAATTGTGGGGGCACCACAAGTGGGTTGGCTAAACCACTGGTGGTACACCACACTTGGACCACCTCCAACTGGTGGTCAACCACATTTGGAAGGATCCTCCCTCCCTTGTGATTGGTCCTAACCCCCCCTTCCCTTCCAACCTTCCCTTCCTAGCTCATCTCTCTCTTCCTATGTAATGCCTTTGCTTCATCAATAAACTGAAACTTTCTGTTTCTAACATATTCTAACAGTGTCCACTGTGTGTAGCCTAGGTTCCCTTGCTGCGTCAGCGTAGGAACGCCTGCCTTGCTTAGCCTCGGCTTCACTCTAGCTCCTCTGCCTGCGGCCGCTACCGCCACGCTCTTTTTTACTCTAGACTCTGGTGCGTCCGCCTGCTTCTTTTGCGACCACACTGCGCTCACCCTGCTTGCCGCCCCTGCCGCTATAGCGCTTGTTGACCCCCCCTCAGGTCCGGTAGTTGCACGTACAGTAGCTCCACTACCCTTCCTTGTTCGGCGGTTCCCTCGGGCTCTCTTACAGGCTTGCACATCCCCTCGTTCTCTAGGAACCTAGTTGGTGTTGGCTGTCTTCAGGACCTCCGCGTTACTACTACGTTTCCTGAACACAAGCGGTACGCAGTCTATACCGAGGCCGCCACTAGTGCCCTCTCACCACGTTCCCAAGGGACCTGGTGTCTAGCTTTCTCACCCTAGACACCACGTCCCCCCCGGTGGGAGTGCCCCCCCAGGTGGCCGTGCCCTCCTAGGTTGCTTGTGTAGTTCACTCACCCACCCGTCGCTTCTGTGGCACCAGCGCCTAGGTCACCCTGCACTCGTGCGTCTGTGTAACATGTCCAATCACGGTCTTGTCCTAGGTCTCACTACGTCACTCCCTGCCCTCCCTCCCTCCCCCGCGCCGCCGTGCACGCCCTGCGTCGAGGGACGGCTGCACCGTGCGCCCCACTCCTGTAAGAAATAGAGTTGAAATGATTGATTAGGTAAGGAGCCCAAGGCTCTATAAGTACATGGCAAGGTGAGAGAGAATGGATGATGGGGGAATTGGAGGGAATCCCCATTGGGATCTCCGAAATCTCCAATTGGGTAATTGGAGATTGTGGGGATCACAATTGGGTGAGGTTGGGATTTGTGAGTACACCCCAACCCACTAGAACATTCACAACCGAAACTAGGATATAAAAGTACAAATACAAAAGTGGTATTTGCAGTCTATTTCTAACACACCCCCATAGACTGCAAACCCGGTCAAGGAGCACATAGCCCTATGGAACGGAGAAGGCGATGGTGGTCAGCCTTGCCGAGAGCCTTGGTAAAGAGGTCGGCGAGGTTGCAATCTGAGGCGATGTACCGTACCGTCAGCTGGTCACTCTGAACAAGATCTCGGATGAAGAAATGACGAAGTTCGATGTGCTTGGTGCGAGAGTGGAACACAGGATCCTTGGTGAGGTGAATGGCACTCTGGTTGTCACACCACAGGGTGGGCGACTGCTGGGGGTAGCCTAACTCAGCGAGGAGAAAGGAGAGCCAGCGTGCCTCTTGAGCAGCCATTGTGCCCGCGTAGAGCTCGGCCTCGCAGGACGACAGGGAGACTGCAGAGGACCGAGTGGAGCGCCAGCTGATGACTCCGCTACCAAGGGTGAAGCAGTACCCTTGGGAGGAGCGTCTGTCAGTCTGGTCATCGGCCCATGAGGAGTCTGTGTATCCCTCGAGCTTGACTGGAGAGGTACCACCAAGAGTGAGGATGTGAGACTTGGTGGCTTGTAGATAGCGGAGGACCCTCTTGGCTGCAGACCAATGCGAGGCAGTGTAGCGTCCGGGGGAGACGTACCGAGAGAGGACACTAACCGGGTAAGCCAAGTCTGGTCGAGTGCACATCATGGCATACATGAGTGAACCGACTAGCTCAGGGTACGGGCCCTTGCAGGCGTCAGGAGAAGGAACTGGAGGGGCCGTGAGCTGATGCTGTAGTGGGAGTGGAGTGGAGACAGAGTTACTGGAGTCCATGTCGAACTGCTTGAGAAGGTTGTCGATGTAGGACTCCTGGGAGAGGGTGATCGTGCAAGCCTGGCGGTCACGAGTGATCTCCATCCCCAGGTAGTTCTTGAGGTCACCAAGATCCTTCATGAGAAGGGCGGAGCTGAGAGCAGACTGGACTGCTGCCATGTCGGCTGGATCTCTAGCGGCTAGAATGAAGTCGTCGACGTAGACGAGGATGTAGAAGGGCTCGGAGGAGTGACGACGAAGAGACTGGAATCTGAGGCAGAGGGATGGAAGTCAAGTGCGAGGAGGACTTCCTTCACCTTGTTGTGCCACTTACGAGGAGCCTGCTTGAGGCCATACACTGGGCGCTTCAGCTTCCACACTGTGTTGGCAGGGTAAGTGCCAGGAAACCCCGGTGGGCGTTCCATGTGAACATCCTCCTTGAGCTGGCCTTGGAGAAAGGCGGAGGAGGCGTCCATGGACTTGATCTCGAAGTTGCCGGAGCGGCTATATCAAGAAGAGCGCGCACAGTTGGGAGCTTGGCCGTGGGCGAGAATGTTTCGAAGAAGAATGCTGCAGGGCGCGGCAGAGGAAGAGGGGGTTGGAGGTGCCGAGGCCGTGGGAGGAGCTTTGGCAGAGGTAGAGGCCGAGGTGACTATAATGAGGGGCATGGGAGCTCTGGTGGTAGGGGGAGTACCAGAATGGAGGGCACCTGCTGGTACTGCAAGAAGGTCAGGCATCCTTGGTTTAAGTGCTTCAGCAGGCCAGAGGGATGGGCACCTCCAGGTATGAAGCCGCCCAGTGGTGAACGCGCACAAGGTGGCACTGTGCAAGGCTCAGGTGCACAAGGTGAAGGTGCACAAGGTAATGCCTATCCTGGGATGTTTCTCATGGTTGAGAATATGCATGGGCAAGAGGGCGATGTGGGATCTGTGGGAAAGGTTGTGATGCACCCTCTCACGCACTGGGTGATTGATTTAAGTTGCACCAGTCACATGATCCCACGGGCAGATTTGCTTGATGAGGTAAAACCCCCTGGGAAGATTAAGTATGTGGCAGCAGCGTCAGGTGCTTTGCTCCCTGTCATTGGTGTTGGAAATGCCAAGGTTAAGGGAGCTAATGGGGAGCTTGTGGGGCTTGGGAATGTTCTGCTGGTTGAAGGTTTGTCTGTTAACCTTCTCTCTGTGCGGCGACTGCAGAAGAGCAAGGCCGAAGTGACCTTTGGACCAACCAACTGCTGTGCTAAGCTTGGGAAAAAGGTGCTGTGGAGTCTAGAAGAGGAGACCAGCTGCATCAAGGACCTGTGGCAGCTGCCCATCATCCCTTGGAATGGGAAGACTCCAACAGCAGCAACGGCAGTAGCGGCAAAGGCAACCGCAGGAGGAGATGCAACTGCACCAACTGATGGGGTCCTGGAAGCAGTTAAGAAAGGGCAGCAGCAGCAGACACATGGTGAGGTGCTTGCTGGTGTGGATGTGAGTGCGGCATGGGCTAAGGCTTCATCAAGGACTGGTGAGGCCGATTGGGAGACATGGCATGAGAGGCTGTGTCATGTGAACTTCCCTATGCTGCAGATGTTGGTGAAGAATGGGAGCCTGAAAGGATTGGAGGTCAAGGGGGGAGTGAAGGAGATTGGGAGCTGCCCTACATGCTTGGAGACCAAGTTCTCCAAGTTCCCCTTCAACAGCACTACAGGACCAGCCAAGACCCCACTTGCACTTGTGCACATGGATGTGGTGGGGCCTACAAGAGGCCCTTCCCTCTCAGGCAGCCGCTATTTCTTGACAATTGTGGATGACCACACTCAAGCAGTGTGGGTTTACCCTTTGAAGAACAAGGGGGAGGTGGCAGCGACTTTCCTTAAGGAGTGGATGCCTAGAGCTCAGAGGGAATGCAGACACAAGGTGAAGGTGATCCACAGTGACAATGGTGGGGAGTTCATTGGAGCT